GAACATTGATATGAAAATTGAATGTTTTGTTCGTTGAACATCAATACATTTTCAGTGAGCATCAAACCTCTGTTATTGAGTATTACAATTTGTGATTGTAATATCATGATTTGTGATCTCGTGTCTATAATCAACCCATATATAAATTTAATGTAATAGAGACTTTTGAAATATGCATTGCTAAAAACATTTTTAAAATGAGCATAATGGAGTTACTAAATGAACATACATAATTTACAAAACGAGTATCAAAAAATTCAAAATCTCATTTTTGTATATTCATTTTTTAGGCGTTTTACTCATTTGAGTTTAAAGTAAAGCTCATTTCTAATATGCTCAGTATTAATATATAAAGAAAAAGAAAGAAGTAAACAACACATGCATAAAGAAAGGAAAAAAAGTAAAGAAAAAAAGACAAAATTAAACAAAACAAAGACCAAGTAGCTAAAGGTAAAATAAAATAAAGAAAAACATGAAAAAAAGACAAAAGTAAAAACGTAACTATCAAAACTAAAAGGGTCCAAACAAAAAACGTAACTATCAAATCAAAACTATAAACGTAAGGAACGACTACTGGAGGATTGCGGCCGAAGAAAAGGAAGAAAAGAGATGGCTGGCTGCGGAAGAAAAGAAAGAAAAGAGGTGACGGCGAAAGTGAAAAACGATCGACGGCAAAAAAAGAGATGACTCAGCAGGAGAAAGATGAGAAAGGCTTGAAGTTGGGATATATTACAAAAATACCGGGTGTACCTGTACACCCGGGTGTACCATATAATCTGCGGTAATAAGGAGTACTTTTTAGTGACTATGTTTAATTTTAAACTATAACCATGAAATTAAATATACACATAACTTAGGAAAACCATCTCTCCCCCACTTTAACTACATAAACTAGGATATTCTCATTAAGAAGTGTTTAATTTTGGCCTTTAATTTAAATTCAACAATTCATGCCACACGCTTTTCACTTTCATGAAAACTTAAAGATATTTTTACAAATGAGGAAATCATCATAAATAAGAGTAAATGTGTTTGTCTATTGCAAAATAAGACTCATTTTTTATTCCTTAAATATAACTAATTACTGTCATGTTTGTCAGTATCAGACTCTAAACGTGACGGTATTTTCAAAACTTGGAAGTATTTACTTCTAATTAGATAATAAAAATATGACAGTTCTATTTTGGAATATTAAAACATTTTTGTCCTAGTTCGGAAATTTCCCCAAAAATATGTGCACCCATAACTAAATACACTGCACTAAGAGTGGATTTACACTCTTCTTAGCTCTCCCACGCATCATATTATTAATATCACTAAATTTTTGGGTAAAAGGTAAGTTGTAACTCAATATATGTAAACATTTTCTACATAATGGTTTCTAGTTTACATTTTGGTTTTGGCTTGCGTATAAACAACATTCAAATCAAGGAAAATTCAACTTCATCGAAGTGCTTCTGAAGTGGCTCTTGATCGACTACCATATATTGCAACTTACACATCATATCATATTAAGGCCATTTTTGTGGAATTCAAAAAATAGTCACTTAGTCAATACTTAATATTTTACTTGGTACGTAGTTACCAAACTGAATAAGTCAATTAAGTGATGGATCTAATCACAACATAGTGGGTGTAAAATCCATACCTTCCACATATTTGCATCAACTTCTCCCTTGTTCCATCAATGTTAATCTACATGATCATCCCGCACATAACTTATTAGTCCATTTATTGCCATATTGGCTGACCAAAAACACAATCAAATCAAAAGAACTAAAGTTGGTTGAGTAGAAGTGTATAACCTGGCTAGTTCTATAACCGCCACAACCTCCAATTTTCAAAGTCTTCAACGAACCATCCGATTTAAGGCTAGTGAAATGCAAAGAGTCAATAACTTCACCATTTACAAAGGTGATCTGCTTCAAATTCCCGTCAAATTTGAAGTTCCAAGACTTTCCTCCTGGGCCTCCCCATGCTGCCACTTTAATATTCTGATCTTTTTTATTTGTATAGTGATCTTCATGGAAGATATTGGCAAATCTGAATAGATATTGAAAAATGTTTGAAGTACACTAAATGTGTACACATGTTTGTCCTTCACAGAAATTTTGTCTGTTCAGACAACTCAAAATGAATTGTCTGTGACAAACAAAATTTCTGTGAAGGACAAACATGTGTACACATTTTGTGTACCCCTAGCAAAACTCAAAGATATTCACATAATCTCAACTTAATTTAGTATATCCCCAATTAAAGTACTCGATCTAGCTAAGTTCAACTAATTTAATTGTCTTTCAATACGTATATATATTGAATTGTGCGGAAAAAACTCAAAATAAAGGTCATAGTCTTTGAAATGATTTTTGAACTGTCTCAAAATATATGCTACCTCCGGTTTTTTTTAATCTACACAGTTTGACTTCACACAAAATAAGGAAAGAAATTTGACTTTACTGTAGAGTACACTGTTGAGGCACTGTTTCACACTGTTTGGCACTGTAGAGACACTGTTTGGCACTGTTGAGACACTGTTTGGCACTGTTTTGATGTAGATTTCTTTGCCAAAAAAGGAAATAAGGAAGTGTGAAGTTTATTTTAGACCTTCCCAAAAAGGAAAGTGTGAAGTTTATTAAAAACCGGAGGGAGTATTAAATTGTCCTCAAACTCATTCACTCATTTTGATTTTTGAGATGATTTCCTCAAACTCAGCAATTGTACGTTGTTTTGATTGAACTAATTAAAAGGTACAGAGTGCCATTTTGAGAATAAGATAATACGAACCATCGTATACAGTTCTCATTTGTGAACTACGGAGTAGCTTGGTTCATGCTTTGCTCCAATAGTCCAATTATGAGCAATTACTTTGGAAACAAAATACATACATGACACATCGGATTTTTACATACAATACAATACTTTACAGGTGTGTTGAGTACTAATTACTAGTTACTACGTAATATTCATATACATTCTCGAAATTAAATCTTAAAAATTACTCCCTCCTTTTCAATACAGTTGTCCCACTCTTCTTTTAGCTAGCATCGTTCCAAATTATAATGTGTAGCATTTCCTTTTTGGTAAAAAATACTCTCTCCGTCCCTAAATTTACTTTCAACTTTCCCTTTTCGTCCGTCACAAAAAGAACTTCAATTTCCCTTTTTAGCAAAGAATTTGTGGTTCACAACATTTCTCTCTCCTCTGTACAACTCTCCACCACACAATTTACACTTTCTTAATCACCGTGCCACTTTAATTTGGAAGAACAATCAGGGACGGAGGTAGTATATATCCTAAAGTAGATACAATACACTTTAATTAGTAAAGTATATTGTGCATTATAGTATAAAGTTTGTACCCACTTTTAATTTGAAACAGAGAGTTTTAAGATTTTTCATCAAAAATGTATATTACCCATGGTTTAGTTTTTTATATTCATATATTGCTTCTTAAAAACTTCAAGTCCTTTTATGTAAATTTATTTTCAATAACAGTAGTAAGGCATATAACAATATGTACGGCAGTAAATGGATAGTGTCATAGTGATGAGGTCAAAGTCAAATGATCACAAACTAAAGTTGACCTGGATCTTTTGGAGTCGGAGATGAAGCACTCGTGACAAACAGTTGCAGTTTGTCTCTCAGATTAGAGAGATTGGTTAGGAGATCAGCCATGCCCAAAGATTTGGAACAAGCGTTGACCCAACCGGACTGGAGCGTGACTGCGCGCTGAGCCAGGCGCTCGATGGTCGGGGACCAGATCTCAGCCCGCTACCCGCCCTTCCGGGGTCCGTTGACCGTCAATGAGGAACCATTTTAGCCATGTTAGCTCGATAAGAAGGTCATCCTCTAAGGAGGAAGATTGGTGAAGCTCTTCGTTGAAGGTGGCGATGTCCAAAGCCGTGGATACAGCCGCCATGGCGTTTTCCGTGATGGGTTCCATTTTCATTACAGGATGAATTGAAGCTAATTTTTCTTTTTTGATAATTAAGATGGGTGCCGCTTCTTCTTTTGAAGGCTTTAATTTCGTTGGTAAGCGGAATGGCCAATACTTGCATGAAAGTCAGACGGTCAGTAGCTATTAATTAATCCCAGATTAATTATTATGACAATAATACAATGACAATAACACAATATATATGTACTCCTTCCATCCAATTTGAGTTAGCGAATTTAACTTGATCGCGCGTTGCGCGGGTCTAATATGCCCACCGCTAAAAGTTGTTGAATTTGTTTTTAAAGTATTGGCATGAAAACAAAAATTCCATGAGCAAGGAACATATAATCTCATTCTAAACAGGGCATGCACATGTAGCTTTTTGGCTAACGAAAGTATATATCAAAGAATATATAACTGTTGAATGGCTCAAATCAACAAAGCAATGAAACAGTAAGCACAATTTACTAATCAAGAAAATGGTTCAAATAAAAATGCGACTTCAGGCTTAGACAGATGTAACAAAACTGTCAATATTAACATCTTCTTGACAATTCATTATTTTTTGACATTGACTATTACCTATTAAGTGTTAATAATTTTATTATTATTAATTTGGCAAATTGGGATTCAAAGTTAATGATCCGGTTAACCTACACTGGCCCTTCGGGCAGCGACCCAACTAGCAACCTCAGAGATTTTTTTTATTCCTTAGTTCAAGCCAATCGAACTAAGGTTTACCTGTTGGCTTTTTTGTTTTACTTTTTAGGCCAATGAGAAGTGATATTTCGTGTATTTTTTACACCACGATGTATTTCCTATCCGGTTTTGAAGAAGCTAATAGATCTCATAGGCAACAAGGACTTCTAGTGCAAAATTAAAAGTACAACAAAATGTAATGCTAATAGTATGACTCCAATAATACAACATGAAGTTTAACTACAGACATCTACATAACTCTAGAGCGTGTTGGAACTTTTGGAATATTTCAAATGATACATTTAAATATTTTTAATTTATTATGAAAACAAATTTAATTATTAATTATGTTTTACATTGCAACACTTTAAAGCACACCTTGAAACCGTTGCTCAAATATGGGGTACATGGTTAGGATGTGTACGAATAGCTTGTAAACCAGTTTGATATACGAAAATATATTCAAAACATTCATTCTCTCATCTCTATTAAAAAGAGCATAAAAATAATTTAACAACACATTTTTTCTAAGATTCAATTACATTATTAGACTTGCATTACGCCCATAGTACAAGCCACCAAATGTATGTTTCACATGTCATAAGCTGATAGATAAAATAACGCCACAAAATATATCTGCGAATGGATTGCGTCCAAGCTTTGATAGAAATTGCCAATTCGTATCCCCGAAATGTGTAATCTTACCATTGGCAGACATTTAACCTCCTTCCTCCCTCCATTCTTCAATCCAGAGACGTGCACAGTCTTCCAACACAGATAAAGCGAGCAAGGAATCCCTAATGGTATTTGATTGGGCCATCTAAGCTCCCTGATGCAAACTAGGAAACAAATCCACATTCAATCCGTCCATGTTTTAATTATGACAACACGCATACAAGTCACAAAATAAATTATTTCTTACTTCACTTCCTCTCTTACTCATATATACCTGCTGAACAATAGGATTAGTTGATGATGAGAATTCACGAGTCATTCCTTGCCATACAACCCTTCCTTCATGAAGAAACAATAGCCTGCACAGAGATCAGCTTCAATTGTATGTATGTATGTACGTATGGATGGATGGATGTATGGATGGTGAATGGATGGAGGACTTAGCCTTTTGCTTCACTCCAGCTACCAGAGGCTGAAGGAAGGAAGGAAGTAAAGAAGGGAGGAAGCTAGCGAGCGCAAGAGGGCGAGAGAGGAACCAAAACCTGTCAACGGCTCTTGTGATGGTACTGTGTTGATGGGTGACCACAACATAGGATGCAATCTGCCCAGGCTTCCCAAGGGCATCCTCCCCTTTCATATGAACGGACCGGATCAGATCTTCCACAACTGTTGATGCAATCGGATCCAGTCCAGCTGTCGGCTCATCGTATAACAGCACCTGCCAACATTGGATTATTGGAATTACCCTCATTTTCATCACCCACTTGCACTGCCTTCCCATTAATGTCACTGATATGTTTTGATCCCAGAAAATGCTATCGAAAGAAGGCAAAAGTGTCAAGAGAACAAATATTTTTTGGTTTTACATTGGTCAGTGCAGAAGGAAATGAAATTTGATTATTTCTTAACTTTTTTTTAAAATTTACTTATTTTTCGTTGTGGCACACATAAACAAACAGTGTGTGCAAACAAATATCTCAAAAAACATTTATTGAATTTTAGCCTCTTTTATGTTCCCACGTTTTCTTTCCTTCTGATTTTTCCCATATGCTTTCCATCCTAATTTATATCATTAGTATTTGGAGGGTCCAACAGACAACACAACATTCAAGTGACAGATTATAAAATAAAAAATTCAGTAATTAAAAACTGCAAACAACAGCAACACTAGGCACTAATCTGTATCTGTTGAAGTATGAAGCGGGATGAGATAGTTTGATAAGAATAATAACGCGAATGCATGCAAAATGGACATTTAGACCTCTTTTAAATTACCTTCCAAGTATAGGGCCCGTTTGGTAGTTCACACATTAAAACTTTACATGCAAAATGATAGCGCGTAAAGTGTAGGAACTTCAGACGCAAAGTGTTTACTTTACATCATAACAAACGGGCGCATAGGGAATTCCCTTTTTCCCGGGAATGAGGTGTGATGCCTAGTTGGCTAGTTTGGATTTCAAAAACCTGAGAGCTTGGGGATTCCTATATTTTCTCAGTTCATGAATTTGGGAGTACAAGCCCAAAGTACACCATGTTTGTTGAATACTTCCTGGCAATTAGTTGAGTTCACTAGATTCTTTTGAACTCCTGAACTCCCCATCTGACTATCTAATTTCTAGTAATTCAAATTTAACTATCAAATCAATCCAAACAATGCCTTAATGGACTATGAGAGAACCTCAAAACAGCACTGCAACGAACGCTAACAAAATCATGTAAGAAACATTATTGTATTAGAGAGTAGGTCAATTTTTTCATTTGTACGAATAATAAATATACATATTCAATTCATATTGTCAAAAGATTATCTTGATTCCAATTTATTAATCCAAAAACTATATGATGCAATCTAATAAAGATGAAGAAACAGACAGCACAATTACCTCTGGCTCAGCTATATCTTTAGTTGTATCAAAAATTATAGACCGAGCTAGAGCAACCCTTTTCTTCATTCCACCAGACAATTCAGAAGGTAGCCTGTTTTCTACACCCTACTTGACAATTTATTTAGTTAATTCAAATGAATAGACTTAAAATAACTAATAAGGATCTGTGGGGCAAAGAAGTTAAAAAAACATTAAGCTGATTTATCTGTAATGCATTCACACAGAGTAAAAACCATAAATTAAATAAACGAATTAATAAAGTAAAATCATTTTACAATACCTTTAACCCAACAGCAGCTAAGGTCTCTGCTACTAGCTTAGAAATTTGATCTCCAGGCATCGTGGAGTTCTCATATCTTTATGTTCAAATAGAGTGCGCAAAAGGGACAAAACACATTAGAGATATTTGGGTGATTTTAAGTACACTAACATTTTGAATTTCATTGTGAAAGTACAGAGTAATTAAAAATTAACAAAAAACCAAGGAAACCTAGGCTGAAGCAACTTACAAAAGGAAACCAACATTTTCTTGAACAGTCAAGGAGTCAAAAAGTGCTGCACTCTGAAATACCTGTTAAGCAAAATCATAAATTTAAATATATAAGCTCAAGGAAAGAACACTGTATCCCTCCTTCCCAAAAGAAAACAAGTCATGTTTGGTCAAGGCACAACTTTTAAATTTTGGCAAGGTGCAACTCTTAAAAGTCGTGCAATACTACCTATAATTTTTATTAATGGTATCGCAAAAATTATCATATTTAACTTGTTTGTAACTTTTTTTAAAAAAATTACATGAGAAATTGAGAAGTTAGCAAAAGAAAAGCGTAGAAAAAGTACTCACTAAGCCAATTCGAAGACTAGAAATTTCCTCATCGCTGATTAGTCCATGCCGTCTTCTACCTCGGACTAAAACCTCACCCTGTTCATTTAGAGTTGTACAATAGATGGGTGTTATATAAAATGAGTAACATAAAAGTTCCTAAATGAAATATAATATGTAAATTACTCTGTTTGAATATGAAATTATGAACTTCACAAATTTGATAGGCACGAAAAGAGTACCTTATCTGGAGCAAGAAGCCCAGCCATTATCTTCAATATTGTAGATTTTCCAGTCCCTGAAGGCCCAATTATTCCAACCGCCTCTCCATGCTTTATCTATGGAAGATGCACATGGAAAAACATAATTATTAATCTATTATGACCAAAATATGAGAAGAAAAATGATGATGACGATGGTGAGGATGATTATAAATGATGTCTTATGATTACTTTTCTCACGCTCTTTCCCTCAGAAACTATAGGGCCTTTTTAGCGGCCTTTTTAGCGCAATTGAGCTTAATTTCAAGTAAATTGCAGTTTCCAATCAAAATATGTACTACTATATACAAATATACAATATTACGTTATTTACTATATTACTCTGTAACTATTTTTTAATTTTAATAGTATGAACTTGTTGAATATAAAGATGAATAAATTGAAACAAAACTTGTCGAATTTAAATACTAACAAAAAAATACAAGAAACACACATAATATTGATTACAATAATATAAAAAAAGATATTTAGTCATGAGATATCAATTTCAGCAATTGAGTTTATTTAAGACAATTTTGCCTCTAAAAACTTTCAACAATTAAAAGTTAAGTTTTTATTTTACTTTTATATGTTCAATGTTCAATATTGGAGTCATATGATAGATCATTAAAAGTTATGAATTTTGATATATTTTATGTAAAACTTTAAATTTTGAATGGGCCCATTTTTTTTTCTTACATGCCACCAACACTTCTGAGACGCATCTTTCCTCTCCCTTCCGTGAATATCCCATTTAATTCTCACCCCAAAAGTGCCCCAAATATACTTTGGCACCCCTCAATACTTTGGGTTGGAGCATTTTTGGGGTGAAAAGCTCAAAGATGGCTTTTCCATTCTTGGGTTTTGGACAACCTAACCTAGTCTCCTAGAAATGCAAGAAGCAAAATGTGGTTTCTCATTCTAGTGCTAAATTAGAATATCTTGCTATGGCACAATCGACACGCGAGATAATCTGGATAAACCATTTATTGAGTGAAATTAAGTTGAAGACACCAATACCTGCTAAGTTGTGGTGTGATAACCAAGCTGTTGTACACTTTGCGAATAATCCGGTATTTCATGATAGAACAAAGCATATTGAGGTTGATTCGGGAAAAGATACAAAAAGGATTTATCTCTACTGGATATGTGAAGGCTGGAGAACAACTTATGGATTTATTCACAAAAACATTGAATGGGATTCGAGCTGAGGGAGAGGGAAGATGCGTCTCAGAATTAAAAAAAGTACTGAAAAATAATTCACCTTGAAGCTTACACCTCTTAAAATATGCTTTTCTCCAAATGACTTGTATATATTCCTGCACTCAATAAGCACATCAGACCCATCACCAGACTCCGCCATGAAGCTCAGATTTTTAGAATCAGCTGAACTCTGGAATTGAAAAAAGCGAGATCACTAACATTATGAACTAAAATGTTTGTTTTCACTTGGAGAAAATCCAGAATTAGATTAAGAGCCTGTTTCGTACGTTTTGTTTTGGCTTACATCCTTATCTACTAGTTTTAAGGCAAACACCAACAGCTAAATTGGCTGATAATAAATACTAGTTTTATTTGGATTCAGTTTTGGTTAAGATGATAATTTATCTCTTTTTTAGATTTAGTTTCGTTTAATTATTTAAATGTATATGTTTAAATAGTATTTTGAAATTATTCCATAGGCATAGCCAATTCTGTCGTTTAAGCCACAACTTTCCCCAATTTCAGAAGATTCAGCCCATCCATCCATTTTTATCCTTACCAAACGTGCTCTAATTCTGAAAATATTCAACAGGTGTATAATATCCAATTTGTTTACTCATGAGAATGGATATAATTCCAAAGGTGAACTGAAACAGAATAGAAATAAATGAGATCAATGCATCAAAGGTAGAATCTTTAACTGTCCAGATTATATTATACTTTAATTCGAACAATCAATACAATGTAGTACATGTAAAGCGAAAATTTTCAATTAAGTGAAACAGAATGGCACACAGAAATAAAGAAGGCTAGATTGCAAAACTCGAAATTATATTCTCTTAACAGGATTTACTGAAGTAGAAAGGATGAATCTTACATTGAGTTTCGGGGAAGAATATTCATTTGAGTCGGCAGATTTCACGTCTTGAGGAGGAGCCACACAAGCACAAATTACCCTTCTATTAAATTCATTTCTACTAAAACTAAAGGAACAAAACAGTTTGGATGGTTTCCACGCAGTAGAGCAGGATGACGAAGAAGACGCCCCATTATCGCGGACGCAAATGCTGAGAGGAGTCGAACACACAAAAGCAACCATGGCTTAATAGCTTTGTCCTCTAAATAGGCTTCAAATCGGGGCGGGGCGGTTATAAATCGAAAGTCAATCCAGATAGATTCAAGCATGCAATGCTTTCACTCAAAATCTCAAATAATATTCTGAAACAAAGAAAAAGATCATCGCTACTCATTTATAATCAAGAAGATATTGTAGACTTGTAGAGCCCGTTTGGTAGCACCAAAATCGGCTGTTTTGGCTGATTCTGCTGAAATTTATGATATTCTGGTTGGAGTGGCTGTTTTGGCTGATTCTGCTGATTTAAGAAAAAATTATTTTAAAAATATATTTTATTAATAAATTAAAGAAAAAATTATATGTAAAAATAGCTAAAATGGTCTTCTACAGTAACTTCAGCCAATACAGCCGGAAAAGTAACTCCAACCTTACTTTTTCGGCTTATTACACAATTCAGCGCGCGAAAGTAAAAGTTACGTGTTTGATGAAAAAGCCGGCTGATAAGCCTGATAAACCGAAAACAGAGTTCTCCAAACGGGCCCGTAGTGTTAATTGACGAAATAGGCTAAATAGCTAAACGCGTATATTAGGCTTCTACCTAGTTAAACTCGTTAGTTAAAGGGAAAATTGTCAAATAGGTCCTTGAACTTTCATAAAAAAGTCAATTAAGTCCTTTTATAGGAGACTCTGTCTATTCGTCGCGATTTGGAGCGGTTTCCGGTGGAATTTTTTGATGAAATCTTTTGAGCATCTTATTCATCAAGTCTAGTTTACTCATACCAAATTTCAGCTAAAAGTTTAATCGGGAGCGCATTCAATTAATTCGAGAACACAAAAATGCGCAGTTATCTTCAAGAATTAATTTGAATGTGTTCCCGATTGAATTTTTTGCTGAAATTTGGTATGAGTAAACTAGACTTAATGAATAAGATGTTTAAAAAATTTCATCAAAAAATTCCACCGGGAACTGCCCCAAATCACGACGGCCAGACAGAACCTCCTATAGAAGGACTTAATTGATCTTTTTATGAAAGTTCGATGACCTATTTGACAGTTTTCCCTTGGCTAAATAGTAAATAGGCTTAGGATGTTTTTACTTGAATCAGAATTCGCTGGTCTGTTTAAGTCTGGTATGATCTGGTCTGAAACTGAAAACTGTAATTAAAAAAAAAACCTTGATCAAATGGATTTATTGGAATTGACGTGATTGTGGCTCAAATAGTTTAAAATGCTGAATAATTAAAAATAAAATATATTTTATTTATCAAAGCAAGAAAAGATTATACGAAAATAGCTTAAATTGTTATGTGTAATTATTCAATCCAGATAGTCATTCCAACCTTATTTATTTTAATTATTACAAAATTTTGCACTAGAAAACCAAAGTTATGTGTTTCATAAAATGATAAGGCTGATAATTTGGAAAAATGGATTACCAAATAGGGTGTAATTAGATATTCAATTTTATAGGAATATTTTAATTATTTAAGTATTAGTCTCTCCATCCCAAATTGAGTAGCAAAATTGACTTTTTTTTAGGTAATTCACTTAATTGTGATATCAATTCTTTATTAAATTTGAATTTGGATTTTGCAAATTTATAGAGATTTTAATGTAATTTCTCAAAATGTAAATTTAATTATTAAAATTGAATTACATATCAATAAAAAGGATTTGACTTGAACAATAGTCGGGAAAAAATGTCGGTTTTGCAAAACAATTTGAGACAAAGGCGGTATACGTTATTTGGGATATTAATTTTGCAATCACTTTGAATAGGTGATATGTAACATGGCAGAAGGTTGTGAATGGATGTATAAACGTCAAAGTCGTCGAGTGTCCGGTAATATAAATCACGAGTTTGTTGAATGTCTAAAAGGTTTTTTAGATTATGCTTTTACCATATGTGAGAGCATAGGAGAAAATAGGGAAAAGGTGCAAATAGGCCCATGTACTAACCAAAAAAGGTCAAATAAACCCTTATTTAGGAGGGTTTGTCCGGCCGCCGCCATTTGGAGTGGTTCTCGGTGGAATTTTTTGATAAAAGTTTTTGAGCATCTTATTCATGAAGTCTAGTTTACTCATACTAAATTTCAGCAAAAACTTCAATCGGGAAGACATTCAAATGAATTCTTGAAAATAACTGCGCAGTTAGAAGCGCAGTTATCTTCAAGAATTCATTTGAATGCCTTCCTAATTGAATTTTTAGCTGAAATTTGGTATGAGCAAACTGGACTTGATGAATAAGATGCTCAAAAACATTCATTAAAAAATTCCACCGGGAACCACCCCAAATGACGACGGCCGGACAGAACTTCCTAAATAAGGGCTTATTTGACCTTTTTGGTTAGTACATGGGCCTATTTACACCTTTTCCCGGAGAAAATATGATGAAATGTCCGTGTACAAAATGTAAGCTAAGAAAGTATTATGATAGAGATACTATTGAAACACATTTGTGTAAAAATGGATTCAAAGAAAATTATTACATATGGGATTGCCATGGTGAAGAAAGGCCAATAAATCCGGCTATATATAGAGGGTCATCTGATAAGTCCGTATTTAGACACGCATTTGATGCGTGTTGAGATCGGATTTTGATGGTTTTCCTAGCTTTAAGGTGTTACAAGTCTCAATTTTAGCTCAAGTTATGTTTAACAGGCGTTGGTTCGAGTTTTGTGTCATTTGGAGTCAAAATGAGGAATTTAGAGTTCGGCACTGGCGCTTGAGGAGAAATCAGGATGATTCGAGATGCATTCGAGAGTGGATTTAGAGCTTTGGAGGTCACCGGGAGGTTCACGATGAAGATTTGATGTCAAAAGAGCTCTAGGATTGGCTATGGGATCAAAAGAAGATGAATGAAGCTGGAAAACAACAATCAGGATGACCTTTGGTCAATCGTTCAAGCATATCTATTTGTAGAAGCATCCAATGGACACGCTTCAAGTTGTATATGAAAGCCAACTTCAAGGGCTACAAATCATATGAAGACAACATTACGAGAATATGAGAGCAAGAAGGTGAAAACAGATGATGAAGTCAGATGATCTCTACTGCGATTTCAGAATGACACCTTCCACCGTTTTGATCATATCTCTTGATTAGATGATTCAAATCACATTCGGCAAGTTGGGGTGTATAGAGGACTTCATTATCTACAACTTTCATAAAGGAAGTTTTGTCAAATTAGGAATAGAAAAAAGGCTGAAGAGCACGGACGCACGACCGTGCGTAAAAGGACGCACGATCGTGCGTAAGAGCCAACAACGCGGCAACTAATCTGCCTGCTACGCACGATCGTGAGTGGCAAGGTACGCACGATTGTGCGTACACCCGAGACGCGAATTTCAGCCCTTTTTAGTCCCAGTTCGGCCCAAACTCATCTGTTTTCTATAAATAAGACCCCCATACCAATATTTTGACGTTACGAACATTACGGAGAGGCCTAGGGACGAATTTAACACCGTTTTTACGCTATTTTCTTCCAAGACCCTGAGATTATTTGTAAGTTCAATTCTTTAATTAATGACAATTTATTCTATTCATCCCAATTCTTTTGATTCGTCAATTATGAGGCGTGAGTAGTTTAATTAGGGATTTGGGGTTGATGAAGGGGTTAATCATGATGTATGGCTAGATTCTTGTCGGTTTAATTGCATGAATGCCGTTTAATTTGTGTTTGAATAATTTAACTGATATCTCTTGTAACCTAGATGGCCACTAGAATTACAATTGCTTATAGAATAAATTAAGAGAGATCTAATTTGTTCTAGGACACATTCACACACACTTAATCGTTCGCTAAGAGATTAGTAGCGATTAAGGGGCCGTAAGCTCGCTCGTTTTGGCAATAATTTAGGATCTTGTCGCATGAGAGATCAGCCTGGATCCCTAAATTATTGTACTCTACGCCGCGAGAGTGGTAAGAACTTAGTAATGATTAGCTAGGCTCAATTAAATGAAATTCATGTGATTAGGCCTGTTCTGCCAGAAATCTGGTTAACCCCGGAATCAATTCATGTTCCCTTCGTCGTTAATTAAGGAAAACCAAATCTTTTTATTCGCTCATTAGCATTAGTTTTAATTCAATCAATCAACCAATCTCGCACAATTGCACTTTTATTTTATTTATTTCTTTTTAATCGCTAAGTTTAGTTAATCTTTAATTCCCTTTTGTCCGTCCCTGTGGAGACAATACTCGTACTTTCAACCACTTTACTACATCCTTTTTAAGTGCGAGAAAACTCACATCAGTCATCAAGTGATATGGAGTCTTATGAGAATGTATCTCTTGATAGTAGGTATAAAGAACAAAATCACTTGTTTGGTTGTGATGATGAAGAAAGTGATTATAACGAGCTTTAAGGTAATGAAATGATGTATGAAAACCCAAACGATAACGCACAAGAGTTCTATAACTTATTACAAGATACATCTACTCCTTTGTATGATGGTTGCACTAAACATAGCTCTTAAGTGTTAAGAGTCAGTATAATATGTCTGACGCATGTTATGACAAAGTAGCTTCATTAACGGAACGGATAGTTCCGAGTGATAACAAATTGCCAAAGATATTATATCAGGCAAAGAAGATGGTGAATGGATTAGAACTTTGATATTACAAAATTGAAGCATGTGAGAATAATTGCATGCTATTCGATGGTGATGATATAGCTTTGGCGTATTGCAAAACGTGTGGTTCGTGTAGGTACTATGAAGATACGCTTGACCGGGGGGGGGGGGGGGGGGGGGGAGAAAGCGGTTACCAAGAAAACATTGCATTATTTGCCAATAACAGAGCGTTTGAAGAGGGTGTACATGTCCTCGAAAACATCTAAGTTTATGACTTGGCATATAAGAGGTACTTCCAGTACTCGTAGTACTATTTCACATCCTCATCATTTTGATGCATGGAAACACGTTGATAAGACGTTCCCTAATTTTGCAATTGAGTTTAGAAACGTGCGTTTGCAATTTGCCTTGTACTTATTGCTGTGTACAATTTGCCCTTGAGCTTTGCATGAAAGAACCATATACATTTATGGCTATGTTGATACCTGGTCCTAGATCCCCTGGCAAGAATATCGATGTATTTTTAAGACCACTTATTGATGAGTTAAACATGTTGTGGAGTGTTGGAGTTGAAACGTGGGATGCTTT